CACAGACTCTATAAAACATAATATAAAACAATAATAAAATTTCAACAATTAAAATATTGAGGAAATAAAAAGGTTTTAGCCTGGTGCCAAAAGGTATAAAGCATTTACACCAGGCACCCCTCTCTGGGGAGCTGGTTCCACAGGTGGAGTGCCATAGCTGAAAAGGCTCTTCCCCTAGCAGCCACCTGCCTTATATCCTTTAGAGGGGGCTCCTGGAGAAGGACTTCTGATGATGACATTAAGATCTGGGCAGGTGTATATGGGAGGAGACATTCCATCAGATAACCAGGTCCTAAACCATGTTTCTGTAATCTTTACGTTATGATACTGATGATTAAGCAAATCATTTGTGTGTGCATGCATGTGTATATGATTTTTAGATACCAACTACTTTAAAATCTATTTCTTCCAAGTTTGATCAGAATTCTCCCATGGAGTAGGTAACATCTGTTTTTGCAGATGAGAAAACTAATCTGACAAGAAAGAGTCTTTTACTTATATAAGCGTGAAAGGGTCCACAGTAATCCATGCATCTGATGACGTATAGTCCACAAAAGCTTATGCCAAAATAAATGTGTGCATCTTTAAGCTGCCATAAGAATCTTCATTGTTCTTGCTGCAAGAAAGAGACTTGACTAAAGCTGCTATACTGTGCACCCCTCCACAAGTCTGGGGAAGTTTAAAGGGTACTAAAAAGCTCCACAGAACTTGAACATTCAGTGCCATAGACAATATATAAAAACTACTCCCGACATCTGGATAGGTAGAAAAACACACATGGACCACTGGGTAAGAACGTAATGGTTTGATTCAGAGACAAGCACTAGTAACCCACCTGGGTATGCACTCTTACATGCAGTCTCACAACCATCTGGCTGGACCCTGTGTACTGGATCTAGAGTTCAGGCTGGCCCTGGGAGGCATTTGACATCTGTAGTATGCTGTGCATGCCAAGAAGGAACAGAGACCCATAGGAGATCTTTAGAGTGCGCAGAGAGAGTTCCGCTTATTTGGGCAATGCATCCTCACAAACAGAACTTCAACTGCATGTGTCGCAATCTGGCCCTTTGGGGTTCCCCAGATGGTTATGGCCTTTGGCCTCACCTCCTTTTCTCAGATCACCCATCATCTGGTGGTTTCCTAGTTCCTGCCCATTTGAAAAGACTGAAATGCATGTTCTAAGGCTTAGTTGTTGGTTATAAAGGTGCTAAGCTACAATATGCTGGTATTTGGGGTCTTTATAGAATTCTTTTGCCTTTGGTTCCACATTTTTGTACATATCTGCACATATTTTAATTAATGAGGAAACAGTGAAGTGGACTTTATTGTGAACCTATATGAAAATAGTATAACCTAGAAACACGCTGATCCATCCTTTGTTGTTGTTGTTATTAGTCGCAAAGTCGTGTCCGACCCATCGCGACCCCATGGACAACATTCCTCCAGGCCTTCCTGTCTTCCACCATCCCCCAGAGTCCACTTAAGCTCACGCCGACTGCTTCAGTGACTCCATCTAGTCATCTCATCCTCTGCTGTCCCCTTCTTCTTTTGCCTTCAGTTATTCCCAGCATTAGGGTCCTCTCCAGTGAGTCCTTCCTTCTCATTAGGTGGCCAAAGAATTTGAGTTTCATCTTCAGTATCTGGCCTTCTAAAGAGCAGTCAGGGTTGTTCTCTAGGACTGACCAGTTTGATCGCCTTGCGGTCCAAGGGACTCGCAGGAGTCTCCTCCAGCACCACAAGGCCTCAATCCTTTGGTGCTCAGCCTTCCTTATTACATATTAATTTTTAGGAAAGATGAAAGGAGTCAAATATACTGTTTTGACTGGCTATGGAGATGATATAAGTTTCATATGATTGGGTTCCTTCCATGTAATGGGATTGAACAATGAGTTTCAAGATGCAAGGAGGTTAAACATCCAGTTAAGAGAGCTGGAAGCTGAGATGTGAAGATAGAAGGAGGCATCCTAGAAAAATGAGAGAAGGGCCACTCCTTGAGAGCATTTGGGAGGTCTGAGCTTTGTAGCCTGGTGAGGTGGAAGGAAATCACATAAGGAAATCAGCTACTGTAAAATAAAGGACCTCATTTTTTCCTACTTTGTTTTGGTAGCCTATTTGATTTGATTGATTTTGTACAGAATATAAAGTTGTTGTTGTTGTATTTTAAAGGAGAGCTAAGCACATTGTTGCTTATATCTGGTGTGGCTTGGACACATTCGATTCCCCATGTTGTTCTCCTCAGGCTTTCACCGCAGGGCCAGTTCTGTCGTTAGGCACAGTGACTTGAACACCTCCAGCAGCAGGAGCTTTGGGATGGCAGAAGGAGCCCCCCAGTTATTCCCCACCTGTGAGCCATGCAGCCCCTGCGATGCCCTCCAAGCTAGCCTCCTGCTCGCAGGCGTGGTAGAGGAACACTGTAGTGCAGAGGCTGGCTATTACTAAAGAAAGAGTCAGCCATGCCTTCAGTTTGCTCCTGCACTTAGAACGGAAGGAGGTCACCTTGAGTTTCACCTTAGGCAGCAAAATATCTCGGGCTGGCCCTGCTTCACCGCAACTTCTGAGCTACCACTGTATGTCTGAGGGAATAGGATAATGGAAGGAAATTCCTCAGGTGGTGGCAGCAAGATGTAATGCCAGCAACAGACTTCTCCCTCTTACAGGTAAAGCGTCAGGATCCCACAAGTGTTATCCTATTGAGAGTTAGCCCAGTCACTGTTAACATGTATGTATGTGTGGGCAAGGAGGATACTGAACTTTGTGAATTTGTGGGGAGAATGATATTTCAGCCTGAGCAGGAGGCATTAATCTGAGAGTGAAAATGTCAACGGCGGAGGGACATGCTTCAGGATTCTTGGCAAGGACTCACTGTCTGCCTGCCCTCATCCAAGGCCTGTATCTCACAGCCTTAGAACTCCATCTGAGAAATGAGAGTATGGTACTGAATCCCTCTAGAGATGATCGCTCAGCTTTTGATAGCTTTGTCTGGGACACTCCTACAAAAAGATGCCTATCCTGGACACCTGAGCCAATAATGAATATGATACAAAGCACAGGGGCTAATTAGTTTCTAAGCAGGTAACATGCCCTCACTTATCCTGGGCCCCGTGTAAAGGAGCCATTAATTCTAAGTGGAAGGGAGGTATGTCTGTCATGGACATACCAAGGTTATTGTTTTCTGTTTTGGAGTATAATTTGAACACGAATGACTCGCATATTCAAGACAGGGGGGCACAGGATTGTTTGTGGACCATATATAATGGCCAGTAGCCAGTATCCAACTACTCTGGTCATTTTAAGAACCTACCAGTTATTCTTAGTTCCTTTCCCTCTGATTTTGTATTCATGATACCATTTTCTTCTTACTGTAGCTGCAACAGCATTTCAGTCCAAGTCCTTGTCTAAGGCCAATCATGCTTCTCTGCCCAAAGAAATCCACTCAGACTGCCAATTTTTATTGCGTGGACTGATGGAAGGCTGCACACACATGTTATTTTGGAAACAGACTGAACTATAATTTGCTTCCAGTGGCTGCCAGAAACTCATAATCCTTCCTTTTGGGAAGCTCAAACTATAGCCATTTCCCTATCCTTAAGGGATCTTGAGTTCAAAGTAGGAAGAAAGTAGATAAGATCTCCACATGGCAAGACTTGGGCAGCAGGTGTTTAGAGTAATATGCTGATAGCATACTAGGCCTGTCTTCCCCAAGCTGGTACCCTACAATGAATGATTCTGGGAATGATGGAAGTTGTAGTTCGACACATCTGGAGAGCACTAGGTTGAGGAAGGCTGCAGTATGCTAATCTCCACAGCTGTTTTTCCTCAGAAGTAGTCATCCAAAGTCAGGCCAGGGCAGGAATAGAGAAGGAGGAGAGAGAGAGAGAGAGAGAGATCTCCATTGTCCAGAATTCCTCATTTGTACTTGCCTGTTCCAGGACAAGAACCAGAGACCCAAAGAGGGCAAAGCTCCAGCTTGTTTACATTCCACTGCCTGCAAGTACTTTCTCTGAGAAAAGGGATGGGTAGGGAGAGATGGAAGTTACTTTGGCAGAAATGGATCTTTTGGATAAAGAATCTTGCTGCTCTGGCTCAGGGGATGCGGTGCCTTGAGGTTTCATGTGCAATGGCAGAGGACTTTGGCGGTGACTGTGGCAGTTTTACCATTTGGAAATTCTTCTCAAAAGATGGCTCCTACTATTCAGCTAAGTGAAGTAGCTACCGTTGAGGGCAGTTAGGAAAGAAATTTAATTGCAGTATCATTCAGGAGCAACAAATGGGACGTTGTTTAAGTGCATCTTCTGTTTCTGACACTGGGTGCCTGGATGGTGCTTTTTGGATTTGACTCATCATCAGCTGCAGAGCAACAGGTGGGGCAATCCTATGGCCCCCTAGACGGCCACAGAATTGTTCAGATTCCTGGATTTGAGGCCAAAAAAGCACCTGAGTCTCCGAGCTGGGAATCCACACCTGGATTCCATCCGTCTTACACCTGGCACAGACAGAACTGCCCAAGCTGCTTCTCTGAGGCCACAGAAATAATAACTATTTCAGGAGCGGTTTAAGGAATGTTTCAAAGAGCAAGAAGGAGAAGAGGCTAGTGCTTCCAAGATACAACACAGCCTGGTTGCACCTCAGCTGCTTTCCCTCCTTCTCTGACATGGCACAGTAGTTAAACAGCTGAAACTGGCCATTAGCTGCTTTGTGAAGCAGGAGCAGCACTGAGGAGAGCAGAACGTTATGGACACCTTCCTAGGATTATACCTCCATGTTCTACCTGGCAGCTCAAAACACTGAAAGTGATAACTGGCCTTCAGAATTTGCAATACCTGAATTTCCATTTCAGCTTCTCCTTTGGTTTCACTGGCCACCCATTAAATCTAACTCTCAATTTATAAAATGGTTAAGCCTCAAATTTTAAGGATGATTAAAAACCAGTTTTCAAATGTTTTTAATCTGAATATGTGACAAGTTTGGATTTCAAACATGATGAGCAAAGGAGTTTAAATGTCTTTAAATATTTAACTTTATTTTTTAAAATTTTCTTCATTTAAAATATTTCTCACCCATCTTTCAGAGCAGGATAAAAGTAGTCCCATATAATAAAACTTGATACAGAGATAAAACAACAACAAATTCATAAAAACAGCAAGCAACAAACACCAACCATAAAGCATCTGTCCTAGACAAGACTAAAATTTACAACACAATTCCATCTCTAAACAATCCAAGATAATTGGGCATATTCTGCTAGTAACTGGACTGTATGTCCGTTAGATACAGCCAAGAAACAATGGGAGGGAAACAAAGACAGACAGGGAGTGGAGAGAACCAGATACAGCAAGATATCAGTAGCGAGGGCAAAGCGTGACTGGAAATATGAGCCTACAACAAGCCAATGAAGGCACCAGCCAGATAAAGAGGAAGGAATGGTCATAGCCAGGCCAGGCCGCACTGGGTCCCAGAATCTGTCTGTCATCACTTGAAGATGATAATACTTCAAACTCTTTAAGGCTCCCAGAAGCTGTAGGGGTGGAGGGACTTGGAGGAAGTGACTAGAACTAAAAGAACAAGTAATCTTAGTACATCCTCACCCTCCCACCCGAATCTACTTAAGCCATGCTGGAATTCAACCAACCAGTTCTCTGCCTTTTCCATATTGAAAGTCAGATGCACTCAAATGTAGTAATCCCAAGGGTCACTTACCATTCATTGATATTTTTCTAGCATTGCGCAGCTAGACTTCATTTGATGTTACAAATAGTTTTTTTCTTGTTGTTTTTTCATGTTTAACTACCATTCATACATTTCAATCATTTTGTATATATCCATAGCAATGACTACATATGAGAGCATATAAAAGAAAATACAACCTTATAACAATTATACATGAGCTTCAAGAAAAGCAAACTAGATATCCAAATAAGTATCAATAGAGCATCTACATACCACCACCTACTCAAATATCACACTTCTTGTGAAGTCCTCAGTCCACTACATAATTGGATGTGTTTACCCTTCCAATGTTATAATTTCAGTCCTTTAGTTGCCAAAAGTGTTGTCCATGGGGTCGCAAAGAGTTGGGCATGACTTTGCAACTGAACAGAAGTTGTCAAAAGCATGTGGAAAATACATTTACACTGACCATTGGTTAATATTCAAGAAGGTAGATAATTTAAAAGAGCATGTACGTCAGCAAATGTTAAAGCTACTCCAGTACAAAACCTATCCATATAATAACCTCCTCCCAGAACAAATAACTACTGGACATCACTATATTGCCCCTGAAGAAGAAACTTTAGCTGCATTTCACCTCCAAACAATTAGCCAAATCAGGGAAACCCTTATTAAAGAGACATTGTGGCATCGAGCAAACATAAAACAAATTTTTTTGCTGTATCACATACAGCTTAAGAGATGTGATAGCTATAGATACCAAAGATTAGGCAAATGGGACAGTCCCCTATTCCATTTTTAATTAAAATGCTGTGCATCATCATCTATAGCAGGCATGGATGGTAGATCACTTTGCCTAAGCAGCCTCCATAAGTGATGTCAATAAAGACAGGGTCTCTGATGCTGTAAATGTTGGCAGGCCTGGCCAACAAATGCTGCAATTGCAAGTACTGCCATTCAACCACAGCTGGCAAATCATATTCTGACACAGGATAACCTACAAGAACTCATCATCAGCTCTCACCAGTTCGTCCAAAATAAAAATAGCTTTTTCTGTCCACCTCTACTACAAAAACATTTTCTTACCAGTTTTTAAGGTGTGGATTGCATTATGCAGTCAATTTAGCATGAGAAAATCAATCAAACTGCAATCTGAAGTAAACAGAAAAAAGCAAAATTTAATTCAAGTCAAAAGATAAGCCCAATGATATAAAGCAAGATTTAGAAGACCAAACCCACCTTCTTTCATTGGAAATTGCATCCTTTTCAAAGATAATCATGTCCAAAGTTACAAAACAAAATTATTCGTCTAGGCATTCTTACCAGCATTGTAATACTCTAACTTACTCTGAGAGTTGCCCACCTTGGTTCTTGAGCTCTTCCTTTGTCTTCAAGCCCTGCCAAAGAAACAAAATTAAATCATGCTGCAAAGTCCCAGACATCCCGCACACCTGTAAGCAGATTTGGCAAGTCCTTCATGGGGTCTAGATTCTTGCGAGTAAAGACTTAGCCTAATTCTATGTTTCATTTTAGTCAACAATTGACTATTTCTGAACTGCTTGGATCCTGATTAAGTATACTCAGTTGGTAGCTGGACTTGACTGCAGTTCTTCTGCCTGGCCTATGGTTGGGCTTCTTCACCTGCTAAGTTGCTTGGCATGCACACTGCGCTGGTTGCTAAGGAGTGTAAAAGCAATTCTGGAAAAGATGCCTGTCTTTCTTCATAAATACAATTCATAAGCCTAGATCAGTGGTGGCGACCCTATGGCATGCCACCTGTTGGCACATGAGCCAAGGCGCCCCAGCAGCCAAGCACTGGATAACAGTGCACACTGGGGCCATGCGCATGCTCAGAAAGGAGTAGCAGTGCCAGGCGATGATGTCATGAGCCACGACCCATGAGCCGCAACTCGTCTGAGCTTTTGCATGGCTGGTCAGCGTGCTGCCAAGGATATATATATATATTTGCTTAGACTGGCTGTGAGTGGTTTTTTCTGGACTAAAACCTCAGTTTTCATGTTTTATTGTAGTCTTGGCACTTTGTGATAAATAAGTGGGTTTTGGGTTGCAGTTTGGGCACTCTGTCTCTAAAAGGTTCACCATCACTGGCCTAGATTCTCACACATCAGGCTAAAGTTATTACTAATTGCGTGAGTGAGTCCTATTTCTGTAATAAACTGATATCTTGCAGCCTGTTCCACCTCACAAGGTTTAAGGTACATGCTCCTACTTTCCACACTTGCACTTTGAGTGCTCTCTTTCCCATGCCGACTGATCCTTGGAAGCACTCCCCATAGTTTCCCACTGCTTAGTCGAAAAGGAATCAGGCAGTATATTCCAGTTGCATAGCAGATGTATGTGTGCAAATCAAACACACAGCTGTAAATAAATTGCCATAAATTGCACTTTAAAAACTGCAGCTTATCTTTATTTCTATTTATTAAATTGATATCCCACCTTTCCACTAAAATATTTCCTTCTGGCAGTGAGCAAAATGAATTTTCAGTAAGATGTCCTATATAATAAAAGTGTGTCATCCGTGGACTTTCTTTTATCTGAAACAAGATTTCCAGACTGTAAATTGGAGAGACATGTTTGTAGATATAAAACCATGAAGAAAGTTGGAGTTAAAAAGTTGGAGCTTCTTCTAGCTGTTTCTTCCTGGATACTTTCATCCAAACCCACCCCATCCTTCCTTCCTTACCCACTGTGAAATTAAGTATCCCACACTTCCATATGCCTTTTAGTATGTGTACACATACCACTTAGCCCCATTTAGCCAAGAGTCTTCATCACAAATTCGCAACTCCCTCCGCTAGAGGATTCCTGGCAGAACCTAGGGATGATCCATATGCAGCACATCTGAATCCTCAGAGCAGGCAGGAGGTCAAAAGGAGCAGGGGAAGAGCCCTTCTCTGGCATACTGAGTGGCTTTAAAGATACAGCAGACTCCTCCAGGACACAATTTGGAAACTCTAGACTAGGGTTGTGCAACATCCAGTTCTCCAGATGTTCTGTCCTACGACTCCCATCAGCCCAAGCCACCATAGCTAGTAGTGTGGCTCACACAAGTTGTGGGGCAAAATTTATGGAAACCTACAAGTCCCATCCATCCCCACCCCACTGCACGCTTATTGTCTGATATATATCCTAAGCATCTTAGGGGTATGTGTTGGGGGTGTCTCTGTATGGACAAGGAGGGAACAGAGAGGGTAGTTTCAGAAGTAATGGACGGTATACAAATTTGATACATAAATAAATAAATAATAAGTTCATTTGAGGATTCCTGAACTGTTTCTGCTTCTGGTATGGAGAAAAGAGCTGATTAGGCCTGGCTGAAACTGAGCCTGGACATGGTTTATACAGTATGAAGGAAACATCTCCCCTTGTTTGGGCAGGATCGGCCCAAGCATTTAGTCATCTAGGAATTCAAACAAAAGGAACTTTGCCCCAGCTAAGGGGTCGGGTAGTGGGTGGCCATGTCCATCCCAGGCTCATAGCCCACACTGTGGTTACTCAAAGGGTCTCTGACCCAGCAGCACTCATTATTTACTAGAAATATCAAAACAGGACAGATAATGGATTCTGGTTTTCAGAAAGGCCTGGTGCATGGGTGAAATTCAAAAAATCACCCTGGGACATAGAAACATAGAAACAGAGTGAGTCAGAAGGGGTCTCCCGGGCCATCTAGTCTGACCCCCAGCTCCAGTTGGCTCTGCTCACGACATGCCCACCATTACCTCCTTTGCCCTCTGCAGAGAGGCTTCCTATAGAGTTTCTCTGGCATCTAATTAAGATACATTTTAGGGACAGTTTATACTAAGAGTTGTCTGGATTCATTTTGAACTCTGCTCCTATTCAATCCTTGAATAAGCCATATAATTGGAATACAGTGTTGTGCTTTGGGGGAAACAGAACTGTGCTTATTCTGGTCTTAAGCTGGTACCAACTTTTCCATGAGGCAAACTGCAGCCACTTTTCCAGGCAACTGAATTTAGATGGCATGAGAGTGCAGCTAATTGTTAGTTCTTTATTATTATTTTATTTTTATCTCCAGGGAGGAAGAAAGATGGTGCTTGTGGGTTTTGCCTCAGGTGCCAAAATAGTGTGGTACTTGGGTACTATGTACCTTGACTAGTGGGGGTGGGGGTGTTATTTGAAGCTCCAACTCAGGAAGCAAAATATCTTGGGCTGGCTGTGGGTTGGAGAACCCATAGTCAATTGTGCCATCAGGGCAAGACTTTGGGGCAGAGGCTCAGAGCCCCATTCAGCAGAGTGGGCCCCCAAACATAGCGAGGCTGGTCCATTGCATTTTGAATGAAGTGAAGTAATACGCAATCCCATCTAAAAAGAATCCCACCCACTCACCAGAAATCATTAACTCCAAGGCTAAAATCATCTAACTTCACAACTGCCCATAGCATTAGATTATAGGGCAGGAATTGTGCATAATCACCTTGGATTATGGATTCTTGCTCATGTATGGAGTTTCTTTGCTCAATCAACTGAGCCATTGCTTGGAAGTAATGGGAAGACCAGTCAGGCAGACTGTGAATGCAGATTCCCAACCGCAGATCTCCTGCAAGACAAAGAAGAAAGAGGTACTCGGACAGTACTTCAAGACGAGGATAGACTGCTTGTGCCAGCAAAAGAGTGCAGAAATCCAGTGAGCGAACCAATGCAGGCTCCTGACTCGGAATGCATGCCGGACGCGGGCTAATCAGCGCGAGGGCATCGCTTCCCGCTCAGCCGCCCTCTCTGCCTCGCGAATCCAGTCCTTATAGGGGGAGGGAAGTGATCGTATTGTGCGCCCCGCCGCTGCGTAGAGGTTGAAAGGTCTGAGAGCAGGTTGGCTCTGGAGAGCGCTGTTCCTGTGCTTGCAGATAACAAAGAGGTGTAGCCTGACCCAGGAAACCTGGTGAGATCCCTGCAGATAAACGCCTCCTGGAATACAAAGGCGCTGACATTGCCCTCCCTCCGGGGCTGCCCCATTCCCACAAGCACAGCAGTGCTTTGCTGGCAGGAAAGTGCTGTCAATGGCCCTGAAAGCCAAGGATTGATTATCTCCAAAACCACCTGCCACACTTACCGTGCAGGCACCGGGTCAATCCCTGACACCCACATCTAAACCTAGACAATTGCCAATATGGGCAGAGTGTCTCTGAACATGTGCAGAGTACCTTTTCTTTCTGAAGAGAAAGACAGCCTTGTGAAAGAGTGTATATAAATTACTTAAGATTCTATTTCATTCAAGATGGAAGTGGCATGAAAGCAGAGGAAAGAGCTGGGTAGATAGGTAGAAATGGCTCACGGCTGGGAAATGCAGAGTGGATATGTGCAAATATATTTCTAGGTAGAGAGGAAAAGGTCCAAAACAGGAAACAGCTTACAGAGACATGGAACAAAAAGTATAAGCTCACAGAATTAGACCACTGTAAGGCATATCTCAAGATAATGTAACACTTTAAAAGTTACAGATTGTGGCTTGCCTTCCAGCTGTTAAAAGTATGTTGAAATGTGGTAGGAAAGATTCAGCCACAACTCAGGACATTTAGCTTCCACTGTTTTCAATAACTGAATCAAGAATAAGCCAAAATCCTATTTAAATACATAGGATTAGAAAGTGCTTACCTTTGACTAGATTGTGCTCAGAGGTGTAGAGCTAAGTTATAATCAAAGCTCTAATTATGGTAGTCAAATTGGAAAAGGAAGGAACTTCTGCAAATCAAGGATTTGTCATAATATTTAAGACGATTGCATGCAATGCAAAGCAACATGTGGGGGTAGGGAGGTAAACAACCTGCCAACATGGGAAAATGGCTTTCTGGAACACTTGGTAGTCATCATTTTACAGGATAAGAAATAGGGTGGAATGTTACAAATAGCTAAGCTTTCTGTTTCCCTTCTTATCTTTGATTTCTGCCAGCAAAAAATATAATGAATATATTGAAAATCTAAATCTCAACAAATGATATTGTCTACAAGTCAGCCAAATGCTCTCAGGTTGGGCTTGACCACCCTGAAACAGGTTGACCGCCTTGGTTACAGTGACCAAGTGACATCACTAGCCATGTCTTTCACCTTCTTGTCTGTGTCTCAGCCACCCTGCCAAAAAGAAAGGGGTAAAACTCTTGGTCACAAAGGATGCAAACAGAATTCTAAAGCATCAGCAACCCTAAACCATCAATTACACCCACTCTGCTGCTAGTTTGATGCGCCATCAACATAATTTCCATAGAAATGAATCAGTACCATCCCCTCAGTGAGCCAAGCAGGCCAGTCTTGAGCACAAGTTTCATGAGGAGGGTCTTTGCAGATCCTTGCATATCCTTGTGTTCCTCTGTAGATCCACTCTGGGAAGGGAATGGAGCATGTGGTACTTTTGGACAGTGCTAATGCCAGCGAGCCAGCTGCACCCATTCCTGGAAATCTCTATCTGACACATGCCTTTGTTACATCTCCTTTGGTACTCCGTGTGCGGCTACATCTGAGGAGCGTTCCAAAACTTCAGCTGATTCAGAATGTTACTGCCAATCTCTTGACGGGAGCCGAATATAGGAAGCGTGTGACTTCTTTGCTCCAGCAATTTCACTGGCTGCTGTTTGTTCTTTGGGGTGTTACAAGTCAAAATGCTGGTTATGACCTACCAAGGCCTACAAGACTTTGGAGCAGATTACCTGAAAGGCCCCTGTATGAACTGCCTGGATTTTAAGATCCTT